TGATAGCAAGGAATTCTCCCAGTTTTTGTTTATTGAGGAATGTTTTTTATGCTCATTTTTGAAAGATAGTTTTGCTGGATATAAGTTTCTTGCGAAGATTTTTTTTTTCTTCCTTTCTGAACTTTTTTTTTTGCCTCAAAAAGTGATATTTATTCAAAGGAAAAAAATGACAAGATGTCCATCCCTTGGCTCCCTTCTCTCCCCCCTTCTGTTGCTCCTCAGGTCCTCAAGGTTGAACCTTGGCTAGGACAAGTAGCAAGACAGGCCTTCTCATATGAGGTCAGCAACATTGAGGGGCATCTCCTCAATGGAGGTGGTGCAGAAGGTCTCACGGTCTTGAAGAGTCCCCTTGTCTTCTTCTGTCACCATATTAATAGCCACATCCTTATGGTCAAACCAGCCACCAGGACCGATTCTGTGGATACAATTTACCCTGTTGGTGGGAAGGTCATAGTTAATGACTAAAGAAACCTGCTGCACATCAATGCCTCTGGCCTATGTCAACAAAGAAGACTTCAGCATGTAAGAGGGCACAACCTATCCAGAAAGGACTTAAGAATGTATGCATGTAGGCAGCCAACATTTCCACACTTTGAATGTGTCATTCCACTGCCTTTTGACCTCTATTGTGGATGAGAAGTCAGTTGTTAATATTGTTGGGGCTCCCTAGTATGTGATGGTGTGCTTTCCTCTTGTGGTTTTCATGATTTTCTCCTTGTCTTTCAACATTTTTATTACATAGAGTCCTTGAATAGGTTCTTCTAGTTTACCCTAACTGAAGCTTGTTGAGATGCTTGTGTAAGTATAATGAAAATTCTTTATCAAGTTTGGGAAGTTTTCAGTCATTATTTCTTTGGATATTTTTTTCTGCTCCTTTTCTCTTTCTCTTCATGTGGTACTCCTACTTATATGTATGTTGATACAATGGTACTCCACATATCACTCTGTTAATTTTTCTTCATGATTTTTTCTCTGTTCTTCAGATTGCATAATCTTTAATAATGTCTTCAAGCTCACTGATTTTTCTGCAAGTTGAAAACTATTGTTGAGATCCTCTTCTAAATTTTTAATTTTAGTCATTGCAATTTTGAACTTCATAATTTCTATTTTCTTTTCTTATAATTCTATTTTTTATGAGTATCAACAAAAATATGAGTCATCCTTTTGTTTTTTAAACATGGTTTATTTTATTTACCTGAACATATTTGTAATAGCTGCTTTGAAGTTTTTGTCTGCTAAGTCCAACATCTGGGCCCCTAAAAGGCCACTTTTATTATCTGCCTCTACATTTTTTCTTCCTTCTTATGGATAACATTTACCTGATATTTGGCATATTTAGTGTTTTGTTGTTGTTGAAAATGGATATTTTAGATAATATATTGTAGTAACTCTAGATAATAAGTCCCTCTCCTTCCTGAGGCTTATTGTCAGTGTTTGATTGTTTATTTGGTTAGTGACTTAGCTAAGTCACTAACATTAGTGACTTGTAACTAGTACAATGAAGTCTCTTCCCTTTCAGTATGCAGCCTCTGCTGTTGTTTCTCAGAGGGTAGAGCCATTAATATGCAAAGAGTCTTCTCCACAACCAGGGATGACTACAATTTTAGTAAGGCTTCCACTTTTCTTGATCTCCCAGTTAAGTTTCTCACTGTTCTGACTCCACTAACTGATAGCTGTTTTCTCTACTGTTTTTAATAATACCCTTGAGCATAAATTGCACCAGAGGTTCGTTGATCTAAATAACAGAGCCCTTTCGAAAAATCAAAGTGTTGGCAGTCTTTCCGTTTTGCTGACCATAGGAAGGCTCTTCTAAGCTATCTCTTTCCCTTGTTTCCTCTGTTTAACTTCCAGCTGACCCACTGCTTTACTTGTTGCCACCAGTATTATGAAGCTACAAGCCTCTTTTTAATTGCTCACCACCAGGTTCTCTATTCTTTTATTTCACAATGTACTTAGGTGTAAATTTCTGCTCTGTTCCAAATAGTCAGTCTCCTTACGGAGAACTGCAGAATTCTCCATTCCTAAGGCCTGCCCCTCCCCCTGAGCTGAACCTTTGCATCACTGTACTGCAACTGGGGTTTGGAGCAGCAATCAACTTCTCCTGGAAAGACTCTCCTGGATCTGAGAGTGCAGCTCTAGAAAAGGACAGTAGCCCCTAGTCTTACAGGTTTGACCATTCTGGTGTGGAGCTTTGCTCTCCATGAGAGAGCTATGGTGACAGCAATCAGGACCCAATATTCTCAGCCTGCCATGTCTGAGGTAGAGCTTTTACCCTATAAGTAGAGGATGAGTGAAAGGAGGGAGCCCCAATCATCCTAGCTATGCCTGCCTAGAATAGAGCTTCTGTAACATGGAGTTGGGAGGGATGAGAGAAGCCTGTCTCCTGCCCCTTCTGAGTGAATTGTTGCCCTAAACTGGGAGCTGGAGGAGTAAGAGTCCAGTGTCCTTAGCTACAATCACCCAGAGCAGAACTTCTGTCACACTGAGCTAAGGTGGCAGAGTGGAAGTAGGAGGAGGTGGTGAAGGACCATAAGAGCAGGTCATGATTTAAATACAACAAATTCTCACTGTTCTTAAAAAGATTTAGTAGATTTTCTTAAATGTGTTTCTCCACTTCCATGTATATGCTTAAGACAATTTCTGGAGATTTTAAGTGATTTTAAAAAAATTGTTTTAGCAGTTAAATGTGTTTCACTGGGTAGAGAGTCTGTCGTGCTTCTGACATAGCCATTGCAGAAGTCCTGCCTCAGGATTAGATATGTATTAACCTCTATCATTTATTCAGTGGCAGGGATATATCTAGTGCTTTTCATATATTACACTGAATTCTCACAAGAACTCTACATGTTAAGTGGTATAATTCCCCTCTTATAAATGAGACCATCAAGGCCATACACAGAGAAAGCAGAGAACTGAGGTTGACTAGAATCCAGGTCTGTTTTGCTTCAAGTCTGTATTCTTGTGTTTTTTTTTGAGTTGGAGTCTCACTCTGTCACCCAGACTGGAGTGCCGTGGCCGCTCCCGGCCACCGCAGCCTCGACCTGCTGGGCTCCGGCGATCCTTCTGCCTCAGCCTTACGAGTAGGTGGAACTACAGGCGCGCACTACCACGCCCGGCTACTTTTTGATTTATTGTAGAGATGAGGTCTCGCTGTCCAGGCGGGTCTTGAACCCACGGGCTCAGGCAATCCACTCACCTCAGCCTCCCAAAGGTGCGGGATTACAGGCTGAGCCACCTAGCCCGGCTTCAAGTCTGTATTCTTTATGTGTTCCATAAAAAGAAACATTAAAATTCATCTGTAGAACTATTTTCCAGAAATTAAATCACATGAGAATTGCAGTGATATTAAATAGGTAACATTGTGTAATATATTTCATCAGAAATGTCTTTTTTTTGCAAGGCTATTTCACTTGATTGGTTGATGGCAAATGAAAGTAACTAGTTCTCTTTTGAAATTTATTGACTTTAGTTTTCTGGAATTCTTAATACAATAAAGTTTGTTTAGTGTCTTAATTTACAGTGTATCAGTTAACAGTGAATTCTACTATGCAATGACTATAATCAATACAAAACATATGAGCTATTTCTAAAAATACATGTTTATTTAGATTCAATTAGTTCAGCACTGTTGGATTTTGTAACACTAATATTTTTCTTTTTCTTTTTCTTTTTTTTTTTTTTTTTGAGTTGGAGTCTCACTCTGTCGCCCAGACTGGAGTGCAGTGGCTGCTCCTGGTCACCGCAGCCTCGACCTGCTGGGCTCCGGCGATCCTTCCACCTCAGCCTTCTAAGTAGCTGGAACTATAGGCACACACTACCACACCTAGCTAATTTTTTGATTTATTGTAGAGATGAGGTCTCACCAAGTTGCCCAGGCAGGTCACAAACCCGCAGGCTCGGTCAATCCACTCATCTCAGCCTCCCAAAGGTGCGGGATTACAGGCTGAGCCACTGAGCCCGGCTTAATATTTTTCTAAATATTCTAATAGGGAATTGAGTTGACAGATTGAATAAAGAAGGTTTTTAACTTTGTGTTATGCTTTTCATTAGATTTCAAACAGCACAGAAATAACACATCACATTAAGGTGTCATATCAGATATCTTTTATTGGTAATTAACCAAAAAAATCATGTGTTAATTTCAAGGATAAATAATAGTTCTGGCTCTCTAAATCCACCACAGAATTATGCCTATTAAAATCATTATATTATGTATCAACACAATTTTTTTTTTCTTTAAGTTGGAGTCTCATTCTGTCGCCCAAAAGGATTGCAGTGGCTGCTCCTGGCCACCGCAGCCTCAACCTGCTGGGCTCCAGCAATCCTTCTGCCTCAGCCTTCCAAGTAGCTGGAATTACAGGCGTGCGCTACCACGTTCGGCTGATTTTTTTTTTTTATTGTAGAGATGAGGTCTCGCTGCCCAGGCGGGTCTCGAACTTGCGGGCTCAGGCAATCCACTCACCTCAGTCTCCCAAAGGCACGGGACTACAGGCTGAGACACCAAGCCTGGTTTCAACACAAATTTTTAGTTTCATGTCAGTCTGATGTAAAGCAGTACATGTTATTTATTTATTTATTTTAATTTTAATTTTAGTGAGAGTCTCACTCTGTTGCTAAGGCTGGGGAGCGGTGACATAACCACAGTTACCACAGCCTCAACCTGCTGGGCTCAGGTGATCCTTCTGCCTCAGTCTTCCAAGAGGCTGTAACGACAGGCGTGTGCCACCATGCATGGCTAATATATTGTAGAGAAGAAGTCTTGCCAAGTTGCCCAGGCTGTAAAACCAGATTCCTATGAAGTCATATAAATAGAAAAATCACACAATTAAACTGCCAACTAATAAATATTTAGGCAATCTCCAAACCATATTACTTTTAAAGAGTACATATATTCTACTCTGACGGAATAGATACATTGACATTCCAAAATGTGTCATCTGGCACACGTATCATAAGCCATTGTTTATATTAAATATAATTTATTGTTTTGTTTAGGTTACCTTCTATGAGATCATCTTCATCTATGCTTTTGACAATCTTTGATTTGTAGTCTCGGATAAACATGTATCTTAGCAGTCTTCTAAGTTTTTTCTATTAAAAATATAAAATAAGTAAGAAAAATTATACATATATTCACTTTACTGATTCAAGACTACTATGTCAACTAAATTTAATAAACTTGTACCCCTGGATCACTGGAGGAAATACAGTAATCCACAGCATAATACTATGAAATAAAAATGTACTCATCAAATTAAATATAAAAGATAAACCACAAGTATTTTTAAAAACACTTTCCATTTACAAGTATCCAGATATTCCAGAATCACAATATAATCATGTGTCACTTAATGATGAGGATATGCTCTGAGAAATGAGTCATTAGGTGATTTTGTCATTTTGCAAACATCATAAAGTACATTTACACAAACTCAGTATAGCCTCCTACACACCTAGGCTACATGGTATAGTCTATTGTTCCTAGGCTACAAATACATACAACATGTTACTGTTCTAAATACTGTGGGCAAGGGTAACACAATAGTAAGTATTCATGTATCTAAACATAGAAAAGCCACAGTAAAAATACAATACAAAAGATAAAAAATCTTAAGCCTAGGGGACTTACAATGAATGGATTTCAAAGTTGCTCTCAGTGAGTCAGTGTGTGAGTGGTAAGTGCATTTGAAGGCTTAGGACATTACTGTACACTACTGTCTACTACATAAAAGTGGTACATATGCTACATTGTATTTATTAAAAATTTTCTTTCTTCAATAAGTTTACCTTAGCTTACTGTAACCTTTTTACTTTGTAAACATTTTTTAAAAACCTTCTGATCCTTCTGTAATAATAATTAGCTTGAAACACAAATATCTTATATAACTATTCAAATATATTATTTCTTTGTATCTTTACTTTATACACTTTTTTATATTTAAAAAACTTTTTTTGGTTTTAAATATTTTTAAATTAGGAACTAAGACACAAACACACACAGTAGCATAGGCCCACACAGGGTCAGAATCATCAGTATTACTGTCTTCTACCTCCACATCTTGTCCTACTGGGAGGTCTTCAGGGGCAACAACAGGCATGGAGCTGTCATTTCCTTTAATATCTTTGCCTCCTTTGGAATGCCTCCTGAAGGACTTGCCTGAGGCTGAGTTACAGTTAACTTTTTTTTTTAAAGTAAATGGAAGTAATATAATCTATGAAAATGATAAATAATATAGTGAAGACATAAACTAGTAGTATAGTCATTTATTATCTTTATCAAGTATTATGTACTATACAGAATTATATGTGGTGGATTTTTATACCACCAGCAGCACTGTGGGTTTGTTTACACCAGCATCACCACAGACACACCATAGACACGTAACGTATTGCACTAGTATTATGATGGTTAGGTGATAGTAATTTTTCAGCTCAGCTTCATCATAATCTTATGAGATCATTGCACTGTATGTGGTCCATTGCTGACTAACATGCAGGACTTTTTTTGTAACTGTTTTTTTGCCTTATAAAAAATTTAAAACAATTTTTTGAAGATTGTGATATTATCCTCCCCATACCAAGGTGACTATACTTATGCTATAGAATTCTGTATACATTCAAGACAAAATTTTATTTTTAAAAATTGATCTATACTACTTGGAAGGCTAAGGCGGAGGGATTGCTGGAGCCCAGCAGGTCGATGCTGGGGTAGCCATGAGCATGCCACTGCACTCCAGCCTGGGCAACAGAGTGACTCCAACTCAAAAAAAAGAAAAAGAAAAAGAAAAAGAAAATTGATTTATAAACATCCAGCAATGAGTTTGGAACAACTCCTTTAAAAAGTCAAATAATATCCTTTTATTATTTTTTGTAAATTCTGAGAATCTTTTCTTTTTGTTAGAAGGGTTGGTTTATGTGCCATATTTATGGAAAATCTGTAATCTGAGAAAAATTTTTATGAAAATCAAAGCTGATGAATAATAGTTAGGTCTTAATGATGGTCTTATTTAGATTTATTTGACTACAATACTGTTTAATTTTAAAATGAAGGGCAATTCGTAGTAGCTTGTTGTGTGTTATCCTCAGAATGTATTATCACTGGTTCCTGATCGTCAGGTTTAAGATTTCTAATAATAGCTGAAACATATGGCATTTTACAAAGTTCTATCCATGTATGTCATTTGACATTTTCAATAGCCCTGAGACAAAGACAGATATAATCATTTCCTTTTTTTGTAGAGGGAAACATGAAGCAGTTTTACAACTGAAGCTCAGCAGGGCCAGAAGTATAATATAATCTTTGAATCTCACTTATTTCATTTACAAAACAAGAAAAGTTGTACCTATCTTACATTCTTATTGTGAGGAATTAATGAAAAAAGAAGTGAAGATGCTTAGTGCAATGTGTAAAACACAGTTTCGTAGTCAATGAATACTGTCTGAATATAAACTGGAATTATTAAGAGGAAAAAAATATACCTGTACATATGTCTACCCTTCTTTTCTTTTTGCTCTGATTCCATTCATCACTTTAATTTCATTTTATCTGATATTTTACCAATGTTTAAGGTACTTTAAATTCCTTTTTGGAATATGTTAGCATATAAATAAAATTACCATTTTGAAGAGTGAGATGAGAAAACTGGGAACTATCATATCACAGTGATGTCCTTGGTTGGTAAAGATATTCTGGTTTATAGTCTAACTGTATAGTAAAAGAGCATTGTCAAGGTGTGCCTTCCTAGTTTCAATATGACTTATAATGTATAATGAAATTACCAAGTCCTGCAAATTCTTATTCTTCATTATCTCGCTGAATTCTTCCTTCCCATTCATTTTCAGAGCCACCATACTAATCATACTTTGCCTTGACTACTGAACCAGCATCCTGGTTAGCTTCTTTGTACTTGGTCCCTTCTACATAAGATTGTGTGTGCCTCACTCTAAATAGAAACCTTCACTTCAACAAATCCTACAGCCTCTCTGTCTAATTACACAAGTTTGAAGTTCTGTAAATATTAACGTGCTTCTTTAACTGGATCACACATACAGATTTCTTAAACTAGATGGTAAGTTTCTTGATAGTGAAGTTTAAAAAATTACTCTATGAAAGTATAATCCCAAGAATGTTGATCTACAAAAATGAGAACAAAAATAAATATGCCATTCACTTATATCTCATTTATGACAACAAAGCACAGAGTCAATATTTAGTGAATATCATGTAGCAATAAAAATATCTAAATACACACATAAGGATAAGGGAGGATTAATTGTTGGCATAGTTTATACATAGTACTTTTGCTCATGTAAAAATAATATCAATTCTCTTGAAGTGAACTCATTTTGTTGTGTAAACTATGAAGACTAAAACATCAGTTATGATTCTAACTTGAAAGTTATATAACAAATGTATACAGTTTCCACATTTAAATTCAATTAAGCACACCATTTGGCATTTTAGTATAATGAAATTATTTTATATTACCTTATCTTTGCGCATCAAAAACAGAAGATCTTCAGCAGAAATTACCCTTGCTCCCCGCAGTTGAGAAACTTCAGCAGCTTGCTGTAACTAACAATAAAGGAAATTTAGGCATTTTTCTCAATAATATAAATTAAATATAATATAATCATAATATCTAGAGAGATAAATATACTAGGAGTTAAAAACCCTTGGGAATAATACAGCAATCACGTTATTGCTTTCAAAAGCAAAATGTTTTATATTTTAAGATGCAAAAAATGCAATTAAATTAACTTATGAGTCCACCTGTAACTGATACAATAAACAGAAATCCTTAATTTCGTTCATGCAAAAGAAAAATCATGCACAGCTTCCAGAAATGCATTAATGCACCTGAAAATAATTTTATGAAATTTTATCCTTCATACTCATGTGAGCAATGGTTTCACTCAGTATCACTAGTTGAATAAGTATATTATTAATCCAAGCTCCCATGCTGGTATGATTTGAAATAGGCCCATTCAGAACTTTAAAAGATCAACAAAAACAGTAGCTGTTTCTAATATCCAAAGGAAAAAAATACTTTTAGTTTTGGCAAGTCTTCAGTGGGTAAAGGATTCAGTCCATAAATCATCATACTGGACTGCATTAATTTCTTTCCTTACTAATCACATGCACACAAAAAGTTAACTGTATCTAGAATGTACAACACAAAACATTACTGCATGAAAAGTTAGATTCCCCCTGAAATGTTCATCTAGGCCCTTGTATCTACAAAGTCAAGATTTTTCAGGAATTTAAAATCCCTAGAAACACAATCTTACTTGAAAATGACCTGGAAAATAAAAGAATGTGAAAAACGATAGCTCTATTTTTTGGCACAGGCAAACTCAGTTTCTTATTTTGATTAGTTGGAAGAAACATAAAATATGTCCATCTGAAAAAAATAAAGATGCGGGAGAAAACACTATAAAAATGTGCCTGTAACTTCTTCCAAATTTGATCAAACCATGCTGATTGCACCAAACCACCTCTAACCAAGATGAACTATAATAAAAATATTTACATGTAAAAGCTGTTCCTGAATCTATCTCTCTTGGAAAATAATAAATCTAACACATTCTTGAGAACTAATCTTTTAAAACTGACATACTGTTATCTTAACAATTATATGAAATCAAATAGCACATTTGTGCTAAAGAAATTCTGTTGGAATGTTTAAGCCATCTTGCTAGGCAAGCTTCAAACCTTCTCTAAACACACAGAATACAAAATAGACTATAAACTCCCTATGTGTCAGTTTTACCAATGAATTTTCTGGATACTGGTGGTTGGTATATAAACATAATCCTACCTAAATATAGAAATTTAAATTTAACTGTGAACCATTTAAAAAGAAATCTAGGTGAGGGGGGTGTAAAAAGATGATGTATTTACCCAGAAATAAACTAACAGTTTTCAGCAGGCATGAACATATTTTTCTAAAAACTAGGAGAGTGTCAGGGAAATATATGTACACATGCTTTTTCAATAAAAAACTTTTCTGTCACAGTCTAAAGTATATGCAATCAGTGTGGAGAAGAATGTGGGTTACATATCCAATTGCCTGGACACATACAGAGAATCAGGAGATAACACTGTCAAATAACTTTATTTTCTTAAATGAAGAATGGTGATGATTTAAAAATGGATAAACACAATACAGATAAAGTAATTGTGTTCATGTTTAAAAAGGGTCAAGAGAAATATGTATCCCTAGTTTTCCCAATTAATCAATAGTTTATCCACACTACATATAAATAATCTCTATAACACTCTCCAAAATGTCAGTTTACAAATGAATTAACTAGGAAAAGAATGAAAATGAAAAGTAAAGACATAGAAGACTTCAACACCTTTATTCATTGGGTTTTTTCATGATCAATACATGACTATTGTAAGGATCTAAAATTTATGTCATGGTTATGTTGTCATATTTATCAGGAAAAGCTTATCTTTGATTTTCATCTATCTGATTTTCTAACTTCTCTCAACTCATATTGTATTCTTACTAATAACAGCAATGCTAGTACTCCCTAGTATGTACTGCACTCTGCCTAGTTAATATGCCTCTGGAAGGTATCATATGTTACCTTCCAAGGCCTGCCTATCCCTGATATATCCCGAGCTCCAAAGCTACCTCTCTCCAACTCTGGCCTCCTATCCTCTAAGCAGCAAGGAAAGCAATCTTACTAATCAATAAAGTAACTCATACTAAAGTATGTACAGTAGTCTATACCCCGTACTTAAGTTAAGCTAACTCAAGTCCTACAGTCAGCCCTGCGGAACCCGTATATATAAGAAGCTGGCCCTTCCTATAGGTGGATTTGGCATCCTGGGAATATGCATTTCCCATACATGTTTGTTTGAAAACAATTCACATATAAGTGGGCCGGCACAGTTCAAACTCATGTTGTGCAAAGGTCACCTATATCACTACCCATTGGTTTACTTCTTGAAATTTTTGCCAATGCCTACCAGAAAGAGTAAAGAAATTCCACCTTAACAACACAAACTTAAAAAAACAGGCTAGCTACTTGGTAGTCCAGTTCCACAGGGTGCTGAGCTCAAGACTGGCGAAAACAGGACTAGAACCAGGAAACCAATATCACAAATATTTCTAAATCCTTCAGTGTTAATAGCAACTCAGTTACTCAGTTACGATTTTTATTATTTCTATTCTTCAAAGTAAATTAAATATAATATTATACTTGTAACAACTGTTTAGTATTAGAACAATCCTCTAACATGTTAAAACTTATGTTTGAATTTTAAATTTTTTATGATACTTTATTTGGAAGCTGAGCATTAAAAGGTACACTTTTACATGTCACCTCAAATGCAACATCTTTGATCCCACATGTAAATCTCCTCTCAGTTTCTCATTGCTATTAATTAATGACACTAACACTAAAATTTATTTTTTTCTCACTGTATCATATTTTCACTAACTTTGGCTTCATCAATTTTCATTGTATTAATTTCTCAGGGTCTCAAATGTGCTTTTTTATTTCCACACACTTTCATTTATCCTAATATAGGCCTATGAGGATTTTTGCACTTTGGCTTATAAGTTTTAATATCTCCAAACTGTCATGTGTCCTAGATTTAACTACTAAAATGATCTCCCTCAAATATAATGTCCAAATTCGTGTTCTAGGATCTACGATAACTCACTATTATATAACTTCAAAGTGGTCTCTAATGCCCAAATGATTTACAGATTTTTCTCTATACCTTCAGTTTCATTACATTTCTTGTTTTTCTCTCATATAATTCTACATTTAAGCGCCAATACTTTGGTTCTTTGTGCCTTTGTGTAGTTGTGATGATTAATTTTATGTTCAACTTGACTGAGCCATGGGATGGTCCAACGTTATTCTGGAGTGTCTGTAAGGTTGCTTCTGGATGAGATTAACATTTGAATCAGTAAACTGAGTAAAGCAGATTATCCTCCCTAATGTGAGTGAGCATGATCCAGTCAATTGAAGACTTGAATAGAATAGAAAAGGCTGAGTAAGAAAGAACTTCCTGAATGTATAACCTGGGACATTAGTCTTTTCTAACCTTTGGTCTCATTCCAAAATATTAACTTTTTGTGTCTTGAGGCTGCCAGCTTTCAGACTGGTATTGGCTCTCCTGAGTCTCTAGCTTGCAAACAGAAGATGTTGAGACTTCTCACCTTAGTCATTGCATGAGAAAATTCCTTTTAATAATCTCTCAATCTCTCTCTCAATCTCTCCCTCCCTCTCTCTCTCTCTTATACACACACACATACACACACATATATATTCTGTTGGTTCTACATCTATGAGAACCTACTATATTCAAATTATGAGAAAGTCTTGATTCATTGTAGGATGCAACACTTTCTTCTTTAAAATGTAGGCTTTAAAATAATTTTCTCAAAGACATAAGATCTATGATAATCTTCATATAACAGTGTTTATCACATAACTTAGCCATGGAACTTTAAATGCTCAGTTTACAATATCTTAATTGTACATGTTACCAACTTTCTTCTTCTGTCTCAACAATTTCCTAACATTCCTGCTTCCCAACTTCCTTGTGAATAATACTTATAGGTCCAGGATCACTGCTCTGGGACATGCAGTTTATAAATGGTTGTTAAATGTTGGCAACTCATTTTCCTCTCTATATTTTTCAGTTTTCCCATCTGCAATATAAATGGATTGAGCTAGATGAAGTCTGTGACTCTTGCATTTGGTTAGGGCTCACATAAATTCTACACAAAGATTTCTAAAGTTCCAAAAAGTTTTAATGAATTAGGTTGATAACTATTATTAAGATACTGAAAATGTTTTAACAACACTTCTATTGCAGCTCTTTCCTTTTGATGTTGCCTTAGCCCCTGGATTTTTCCTTAGAAGACAAATAGTAAATATTAAAAAGCAGGAGTTGTGGTGAGCTAGCATAATGAAGAGGCAGAACATCTGGCAAGGTTGTTACCTGGCCTGAAAGGTATTATTCTGTCTTTCTATCCATCAGTCTATCTATCACACATATATTATCTATTAGGCCAGATTCTAGGTTAGGCTATGATAAAACTGCTTTGGTTGTAACCATACTAGCCAGTCACAGATAATCTTGAAGGTTCTCTCTAAAACATCCATGACATCACTGAAAGAATTTGGAGTTGAGAAATTTCCTAATCTGCTGTTAGGAGAGTACAGTTTAGTTCAACCACTAAGTAACTCTGTAATCCTGTATACATCAAATAACTTCTTTTTTTTTTTTTTTTTGAGTTGGAGTCTCACTGTCGCCCAGACTGGAGTGCAGTGGCCGCACCCGGCCACTGCTCCCTCGACCTGCTGGGCTCCGGCGATCCTTCCGCCTCAGCCTTCCAGTAGCCGGAATTACAGGCATGCGCTACCAAGCCTGGCTGATTTTTTGATTTATTGTAGAGATGAGGTCTCGCAGCCCACGCGGGTCTCGAATCCGCGGGCTCAGGCAATCCACTCACCTCAGCCTCCCAAAGGTGCAGGATTACAGGCTGAGCCACCGAGCCTGGCTCAAATAACTTCTTTAGATTTGTAGGTTTATGTTTCTCTTTTGTCATGGATAATCAGTAAATTTATTAATTAGTAGGAGAATTAATAATCTTAGTAGTAATAATAGCTACTAGATATTGAGCCCCTAATTTGAATGAGGCACTGTGCTATGTGTCTTATAAATACTTAATTTTAACTTAAAAAAATTTTTAATCTAAGTTACATGTACATAATATTAAAAGTAAAACAATACTGTTTTATAATATAGATAGGAATACCTTGCCATACTTCTTCCCAGTCTGTAATTCTGATTCCAGTAGCAACCACTTTTAATTTTTTTAGTTTGCTTTTCTGTTATTTACCTCTACATTTGAAATAAGCATGTCATTCTTTTCTTTATTTTTCAGCTTAAATATCAACTGAATTCTTATTATGAAGTGAAAAAAAATGTAGTGTTCTTAGACATCCCAGATTTAACCATCTCCATCCCCCACTCTTAACCTTATCTATGTAATATAAATTCTTTTTGCTACATTAATACCAAGTGTTCATATTATTGTGATTATGTAAACATTCTTAGCAGCTT